CTTTGATACCAAGCTGCACATCACTTAAAGTTAAACGTTTATAATTAGGCCTATTATTTTCACTAACTTCAGTTTCACTAGAACTAGGCTGCATTTGCGCATCACTTGAGGTTTTCTTGTGTGATGCATGTTTCTTCAGTCATCTATCCATATTGGTAAGGGGTTTTCTTAAAAATGAACAACTTAGAAATATTTTAATTAGTACAAACTAAGTCTCTCTCTCTCTTCTCAGAACAAACTGACACTTCTAGCACGGGCCACCAGCAACTTGTCTGCAGCCACCTGGCACTACCAGACGTAAGATTCAGGTCTCGCATATCTGTCCGGTAAAAGAGTTGGCGGTGGGTGGTGATGACTAGCTGCCTTCCCTCTAGTCTTACACTGCCAAATTAGGGACGGCTAGCGCAGATAGCCCTCGTGTAGCTTTGCGCGAAATTCAAAAACAAACCAACGTTCGTCGCCTTACTCCTTCTCTACAACTTCACCTCTACAGCCTTGGTCTCTTCTCTGGAACCCACCGGACATCTCTCTCTCTCTCTGCTTCTCTGCCTTACTTTTTAAACACCACTAGTCAAAAGTACAACCAACCTTTCCAACAATATTATAAAAATTCATGAATATAACAAATAAAACTGTCACCAGCGGGATGAAAGGGGATAATAATATCCCTGAACACCCCAGTTGAAGAAAGTTAACTTTCCTTTTAAAACTAAATTCCTCTCACAGAAAGAGAGAGAAGAGTTAGTGGAAACTAACGAATAGTGCGATTGACCGTCACATTATAACGCCCCCACGGCTGAAAGGGCGAGTATGTTTGGTGTGACGGGGATTCGAACCCGCAACCCACAGATTGCGAGTCGAGCGCCCTAACCACTTGGCCATGCCGGGCTCGAACGTTGGACAAAGCAATTAACAAACTTCCCATGATCAGGGTTACGGGGTGGCTGGGATCTATAAATTAAATGCCACGGCTCTTGGATCATTGAATCCAAGTCCCTTCAAAGTTGCTGTGTGTGTATGGGGGGTACTCCGATAAAACCCACTTTTACAAGACAGGCGCCGAATATTCTACCTGTCCTGTGCTGAAATATAAAAACACAAGAAATGATTAGTTTGAACATATATTTATTTCCATTAACAGAGTAAGCAAATTTAACACATTTGGAATAAGATTCCTAAAATTTTGGTGTCTTAGAACCGGTTAACTTGAATGAACAAATGGTCCTTTTTTATGTTAGACAAAATCCCTTCTCTGATCTTACCTGCAGACAGGGGAAGATCGGCTTGGACTCAGCAAGGGGACATGTCGAGCTAACGTGGTTTAAATTTACGGCATTTCACAAGAATCTCAAGGTTATCAACACTATAAAACTTATCTTAGGCTCTCTAAATTGCACTAAGTGACAAAACCTTAATACCTGAGGGACTGTAAGTATAAAGGCAGCTGTCAACTTGTGAATTCTATAGTTTCAGCAGCCTTAAGTACAAACTTTCACTTTTCCTTCCTGTTATATTAGCTTAGTTGAAATACTGGGAAATTCAAGTTAGATGAAATGAAAATTTAAATTATAATGTATTTGAAAATATTAATTTTATTATAATATATTTATATTAACTGGTTTAATTACATTTTTCTTTAACATACAACAAAGGCTTAGAGAAAGTTTGAAAATGGCGGTTGGTAGTGAAAGGGTTAAAGTTAATTTAATTTTTTTTTTAGTTTTCTGCGGACCAGCATTTTTTTTCCATGGACTGGTACCGGGTCACAGACCACACTTTAGGAGACGCTGCTCTTGTCTATCACTTCAAAATTATGTAGCTTTGCGCGAATATCGGAAACAAACAAACTACATTAATCTTGTCCTAAAATGATAACATATATTACTTGCGAATTTATATTTTTCCAACCAGAATTAGTAAATTCAGTGAATATAAGAAATAATCCATGAATGACATATAGCAGGCATTTTCTTTTTTATTTGTTAACATATTTCAATTTTTTGGGCATTTCATATCGTTATTGAAGAATTACATTTTTCGATAGCCTCGACATAAAAGTAAAGAAATAACAGTTCAGCTTATATTTATATCCGTGAAAACTGCGACCTTTTTAACCGGTAACTTAGAAGAATACTAATCTTGTAAAAAAAATATAATAAAAGCATGCTGAAACGTACTCACTAAAATACCTACATTCATTGACCGGTGTCGTATGAACACAACTACTGTAAAGTTCCCTAACTTTTATAAATTTGCACTGAATTTACAGGATAACTCAACAAAATAAAAACTGAAATGTCTTTTATATAAAATTCTATTTAATCTTGTATTTTATATCAGAAAAATAGTTGTTGGATTTCAGATTTCTTGAAAACCACGTGTTTTACATTTGCACGTTTGGTTCTATGAAAGAAAGTAGTCCGTAAGTGGCGTGATTCTCAAACGGCTATTTCGATCATTAGATGTACCCCTAACGTAAATATCTCTTTAGTAAATTTTTTTGAATTATCAAGAACAATAAGCAGATTTTGCATCAGGTATTTTTAAACAGTATTAAGGCTCATCTGTCGATTATACATACATATATATATATAAATTTATAGTTTATTTTCTAAGATGTACTACAAAATGGAATATCATAAAGAAATATCTGGGAGTACAATAAGTAATTGGAAAACCACACTAAGGAGGGAAATTGCACCGCCCAAACACGTCATACTATAACAGCCAATGATTGTGAGGTTTAGGGAAGCATTTCGAAGTCTGCGTAAAATATATATTGTTAGTGTGTTAATATAGCGGTGAATTGTAACACGCACGTAGGATAAATTTGGAAGTGCTAAGTTTTTTAGCTGTTTATTAATACAAGTTGTAGAAAGAACAAACTTATTATTACTATGGCTTCAGCGAATATGTCGCACATATTATTTAAAGTGATATTTGCGACCCACATCTGTTTTGTGATTATTTCTTTATTTATACAGTGGACACATGGTAAGTTATAATATAAGTTATACTAGCAATAAATTATAAATAATGCCGGTTTATGTACCAATGCCATTAACCAATTAAAAGTCTTAAGTTACAAATTAAAACATTAACCTTGAGTATTATAATACTAATAGTAATTCACTATACCGTACAGTAATAATACTAGTAGAGGTAGTAGTATTACTATAAAATTAGTAGTCTAGAATAACTAACCTAGCTATACTTATACTAGTAGTAGTAGTAGTAGTATATTTAGTAATATCAGGACTAATAACCTATTCACATTTTACAGTACAGACTAACTCACTACTGAAGCCCTAACTTAAAAGTTAAGTGTGTCAGCTTGTAGACTGAATTATTATTTTGGAAGATGTGACTGAGAATTCCTATTTAGCTCTCATTTAATTTTAAGGTAGTGTCTGTGTGAACTTACTTTGTACAATAAAAGTAAAATTGAAAAATTCACTTAAGGTTAACGTTAACAGTTAAATTACTTACACTTACTTTAGCTGTTATTCATGATTTTTGAAAAATAATTTTAGTAATGTGAACTGTAAAAAGAACTGTTGACAGTAAAATACAACAATTAGTGTTACTTTTCTAATAGTGATTAATCCATGGGTGCAAAATTGAAGAAAATTAAAAGGAGATTGTATTAGGTATTTTAGAGAAACATGTTAGATAAGGAAAAAGCTTATTTGTTTCTTGGAGTATGGTGGAAGTAGAAAATGAAGGTTTATCGTGGGGAAAACATTCTTTAGTAACAAGCTGTATGTAGGATCTACCTCATTAAAAGGAAAACTTCATTCAGTATTGTATCAGGAGCATAGGGTAGAGGGAATATTAAGTTTTTTGGGTGTGTGCTCCTTTGTAAACAGTATATTACAGATTAGGTTCCATTGCTACCACTTTGGGTCATCAAATCTGTAAGATGTGGATATTCATGAATAGGCCTGCATTTTACTGAATGAGTCTTTCTGATGCGTATGTTTTAAGTAATAAATATAACTACAGGTTTCACTTTTGACTAGAGGGCCACTAACATGGAATTCTTCTACATGCAAAATGAGGCTAAAAAATTTGTCTTATCACATTGACAAGCCAAACCTTTATTGAGCAACTGAGGTGTCAACACACTAGTAACCAGGTTCAGGCCTACTTTACTTTACTGCTCAGTCATGAAGTAAACAAAGGATAAGAGCATTGTTGGTGTCATTTACATTGCACCGTTGATGAGTAATAATCACAAAATTAATGTAGTAATATAACTCAGAAGAACCTCCGAACTACTACTTAGTGTTAATATCAATGTACTAGTGATGCTCCCAATTGTGATGTTCTGGTTTAGCATAGCTAGTATACATGTCTAATGTGCCACATTTATATAGGGTGTTTGAAATTTCACTTTAGAAACTTGATATGTTTTGTAGAATTGTAACAATAACTTGTTTAATCTGAACCCAACTAGCAACTATGGTAACAAAAATGTATTTCATCAATTAAATGTAGTTGTTCAGTCTTAGTAACACTTTTCAATATGAAAACCAATAGTACTCGAGTATTTCCATCAAAATTTCAAAGCTAGTGAAATATGATTGTAATTATTATACTTGTTATAAGACATCAGTATTAGGGCTTTCATATTTTGTAACATTACAAGAGTGAACAACACTGTTTGCCATATTCATTTCCAGTACCAGCTTTTATAGGTGTTCACCACTAATGTGTTGTATGGCAGCTGATCTCATGAATTATATATGGAAGGAAGCACATAGCCAGAAATGAATATGGCAAACACATTGTGGCTGATATAATATTCACTCTTCTTGAAAAAACACTAAGGCACTGAGTGAAGAACATGGTATTAAAAAAAATAATAGGCTTAATACTGATATCTGATGAATAGTATAATTAATTATTATCATGATTTGCCAGCTTAGATAAAGAGTTAACACAGTAGCAAGTGCTACAAGTAAAAATTAATTTCTATGTTTGAAAAAATGGCAGAATATTTATACATATAAATCGGACAAATTCTTAACTATTAACATTAACTACATGAAATAATTACGATACCGTTAACAGTTAGATTTGGAGAAGAATAATGTTGCCAGTGTCTCTGAAACTGAAAGTTAAGGTCAAAGCTTGTTATAGCACATAACTTAGGTTAGTAAAAGATTGAACATTCTCCAAATCTTGTCATAAGTAACAGTGGTAGTTATATTTAAAATTTGATGAAATCATTCATAGCATTTTATTAGTGAGAAAATATCAGTGTAGATGAGTGATTTAGCAGTGACAAGTTTATCAAATTATATAAATAAATCACTCAATCTTGATTAATAATAGGTCAGTGTTCGTCACATCAATTTACCTGTGCTAATGAAAGGTGTATTCCCATGACGTGGCATTGTGATGAAGACGACGATTGTGGAGACAGATCTGATGAAATAAACTGTGGTAAGTTTGTTTAATGTGTCTCATTTTACCTGCTTACCCTCCCTTTTGCGATGGGCTCATTATAATATACACGATATTATTGATACTATTTAACTTTTAATGCTGTAAGGGTATCTTCACAAAATTTGGTAGACTTTTAGTAAAGATTTACAAGTCTTTTATACATAAAAAAATCAGATTTTTTAATGAAGTAATTTTATTATAGATTTGTTTGTGAAAATATTGCGCCTGTTTCGTCACCAGTGCAAAAAAATATTGTTTGTCCCTAAAATCTCAAGTATTATTTGTGTAATATTTAAAACATCCTAAACGCATTTCGAATGCTCGTTTTCAGTAAAAACTTTATACTGTTCTGGGAATAGTGTTTTGACGTTGTAAACCGAGGGACAAGGGTGTGGGTGTAGTTGTTGAGAAAAGTTGACTAAAGGTAATTGAGTACTACATTCTCTTTATAGAAGGTAATGAGTAGGAAGTTGGTTCCTTGTGTGGTACTAATTAGACCCAATCTAAAACTGCTCTGAATTGGTTACCTTTTGTAATGGTCAGGGTGGGTGTTATATATTTAGGCCTTAAAATATCGTAGGTCAGTTGGTAGAGAATTGTCCTTATGACACTAATGAGTTGAGTTTTGTGTTCAAGCTCTGTTTAACCCTTTGGATATTATAAATAAATATATGAAACTTGACATTTATAGCCTTTTGGTGCAACAATCGGGTATACCTTACAGTGACACAAAAACTTTTCTCATAGGGCGACAGTTGTGATACTTGGACGCCCTTGAATTTCCTGCCTTAGTACCACGAGCAAATGTGCAACTAGTGGATATTGATATTGAAAAAAAGACCAAACTCTAAATTTCATTTTGTTAGTGGATAACTGGCAATTTTTGAGAACCTATTTGAAATTTAATTACACACTTCAAAGGGTTATGGTAGATTTTGTAGTATCCTGATAAGTCAGTACTAACATAATCATACAAAAAAAAGTGGCCAAATGACGAGTAACTCGTGCTTGTTAATAAAAATTGACAAACATGATAAAATAATTTTAAACCAATTATAGAGTTCACCTTTTTTTTTAGCTAGCAATTTTAAACTATGTATCCAATAATATTGATTGTCTTAGCTGCATTATGATATCAATTCTTTTACTCATTTTTTGTAAAACAGTAATTTTTTTGGGGGCTGCTCTTTTATTTTCTTACAGCCAAGCTATTTTTGTTAGACATATCATTTTGTTAATAACTACAATTTATCTCATAAATAGAATTCACCATTAACTATCTACCTAGACATTTATTAAATAATGACAGTAAAATAGGCATCCAGTATCTTTCAACCTTCTGCTAGTTGGTAAATTACAAACAAAATTACACAGTACACTATAGTGCAACCCATGAAACAATGCAAACAATTAGAAGCAAATGGACATTTACTGGAATAGTCCTTTCTATTCCATGAGAGAAACAATCAGTCCAATATTCTCCATGAGTACACCATTGTAATCAAAAGATGAGTTAAAACAGACATGTCAAAATCAGTTTCCCATGTCCCATCAACAACCATCTTACTCTGGGCAAGATACTGCTCCACACTGTCATTGTATCAATTTTAACTAGTTTTGGTGACCATCAGCCCCAATACTACTTATTAATTCAGGTATGCATAGCATGTGAGCAACTATTGCACTTCTAACTTCAAAATGCTGCTATTCAGAGCCAGTTACTATATTAGACATAGCTTGAAAAAGGCAGTTTCCATCACCTTTAATGCTCTTTAAAGATAGAACATCTGGTAAAGTTAAAATGATGTTTGATCCACATGTTGAAATGGAAACAGGTCTAATACATTACAAGCTTGTCTCTGCCATTCAGTTATTGACATAATGGGCATATCAAAAGCAGTTATTTATTAGTCTGTTAGAAACAGCTTTGTACCTCTTCGTGTAGGAAGTTAACAATGGGAGCATGGGTCATCAGACATGGGTCGATATTGTGGTGTTTATTTATGTTCCACTGGCTGCATCATCAGTCAGTGAAGAGTTAACCCATTAATATTAAATGCAACAATACCTGTGGGTTGCTGCAACAGCAACATCTATCAGTTACCAACTGAACCCATGCTTTAATAGTGTCTAGTAAAAAACTCTTACCAGTACTGCCAGACCCAATAACAAAAAGCCATAAGTATTTTGGCATTGCAACCCAGATCATCATTTGCTTGGGCCTTTATGGTGGTCTTGACCTTGTTGAACACACTCAGTTGGTTCTCATTCACATCTACTTGTTCATCATGCTGAATGACATCTTCAAATTTTACCATAGCATTGTGTGCCTTAGTAGCAACGTAGTGTAATGGACCACCAGGAGGAGGGCCACTGCTTTGCTGTTCTTTGCTTACATCTTTGGTGATGTTCTTGAATTAGTTCACGTACTTTCGTTTCTGCTTCTTGAAAACGAGACAATTGGTTATGGTATTTCAAACCATACAACAGGCTATCTCTACGAGCATTAAATGTCTCAGTGTAATTGGAGTAGTCTCCTATTTAAGCTATGGCATTTTCTCCAGGACTTAAACAACAACAACATTGAATAGAAGTATTTGTAACATACCAATTTAGAATCATTGTCTTACCTACAAATTTCAGATTCTTATTACCCTCCGAAGCTAACGACACTGCAGGACACTTTCTGGCTACCGATTCAACAACACTCCAAAGACACAATTTCTCTCTTTCAGGTCTGGGAAAACCAAATTGACAAACATATCTAATCCAGATTGTTTTTTGTTTTTTTTTATCTTAAGCAGTAATTGTTGCAATGGTGAGACTGGTATTTTGATACTCTTTTGTGCAATATTGGATTTTCTCGTTTTGGTTACAACCAGGAAGATTTTTGCCTGCTGAATCAATACTTTTTCATATTGGTTAGGCTGAGCAATTTCTGAAGGAACTGGGTCAAACATTAAACCGTTTAACATGCAGCGTGGCGGAAGTATTCATGTTTGGAATTTCTCATTAAAGTACCTACAGATGTGTCCCATAGGCAACCCATCATGAGGAGCAGGTTTTCTTCTACGTACTCCTACAGCCATTCACAAACATCACCAGTGATCGAGTGGGTGAAGCACTCCAGTTGTACACATTCAACTTTGTTATATGACATGCAAAAATACTCAGCATGCTCTAAACATTTCTTGTGATACAAGGTAAAAGCTGTTTTGAAAGTTTCAATAATTTTACTTTCATTCAAACTTTCACGTGTACCACATAATACTTTTTACTTACCTACTGTTCATTTGCAAATTCCTGCAATGCATGTACATCACCTCTTTGTAGTGCACGGTCTATTTTGTAATCAGCTCTTCTGACACTGTATAATATATTGCTTATCTTCTTGATAATCAGATAATGAGGTGATGTAAAAATAGCAATTTAGAGCCACAAACATTTGAGTCAAGGTGGCATTGTCTGTTGTTCCCTTTTTGATATGGATTATGCATATCTGACTGTACAATCATCCATTTGTTGAAGATATTGCCTGGCATTTAGTGGAGTACACTTACCAGTGTTAGCGAATATGGTGCATATATCCTCGGTTGCTTCAGGAATAGATATTTGTGGACAATTCAGGACACATCCAAGTAGCAGCCCCATTCCCACGAGCACCCTCGTTCTTTACAGTAAGCTTCCTTTATAAAATATTTCCATCTTTGTCAAAAGCAGCACCAAAATAACAAGTTTCTGCCAAAAATACTCCGTATGTGTATGCTTTCTCTACACACGATTTTGTTTGTCTTACTGTTAGAAGTTGCTTCAGAGGCCTTACATAATGATGTCATCACCACATTACTTAAAATGTTGAAAATTTTTAATAAATTCATGCTAATAAGTCTCTCACTATTGCAAAGAAGATTTTACTAAATGCTGTGTCAGGTCTTCTTGATAGGCTTGCTTCATCCTGGCAGGAAGACTGAATCTTACTCGCCTCTCCTCCCATGGCACGGATGTTTTTTTCTTTTTTGGTAATGTGGGCATCATTGAAATCCCTCATGCCTTTAGGACAAACACACAAGAGATCCTTTCAGTGTGCTTTATGTGACCAAGGGATCATAAATACCGGTTCAATGAATTCTCCAGTTTCCTTATTTAAGATCTTTCATTGATCTCGAGGGGTGGTTAAGTCGGGACAATACTAACATATAGGTTCCTCTGCTACCACCTCATCCAGAGATCATATCTTTACGATTGCCTTGCTTCAGAAATGGAGTGCATATCTTAACAGTCAGGAATTCCACGGTCTGTGCATGGACAACAGGGCTTCCCTACACAATGTTTATCCTTCTTGCTCTTCAAATGGTGATGCCTTATGGTCTGGGCTTATTAAGGGGAACATCTTCAGGCTTCACTCCAACAATGCTTGCTCTTCCCATGAGAGGGCACTTGGTCCAGGGCTCCTTGTTTTCAAATCTTGGATCTCCTTTATCAGTAGCAGATCGATTGTCTCAACACAACCAAATTCTCCCAACAGAATAGATGCTACATTACAAGGTTTTCTGTTGGATTATCTCTCCTTTTGGAACACTGGTGAATGGTGGGTTGACTACTCATTGGAACACCCAACTACTGGCAATTTGGTCTTCAATACTTCACCTTCGGGCTTTGGCATCCACACTTATTTTTTTATTAAGTGAATCTGTCAACATGGTTTCACTAAGGAAAAATCTTGCCTTAAAAATCTGTTTACATTTTTTTGAAAAGGTTACTGCTTATGTAGATGAGGGTAAGGGTGTAGATTTGGTGTATCTGGATTTTCAGAAAGCATTTGACAAGGTGCCACATAAAAGGCTTGTAAAAAAAATCTTTATAGATGTGGGGGATTAGTTAGCAAATTGGATAGAAGAATGGCTGGATGGAAGAAAGCAGAGGGTTGTTACAAATGCAAATTCAGTTTAGCCAAACTGGATTAATGTCACAAGTGGGGTACGTCAGGGCTTAGTCTTAGGACTTTTGCTCTTATTGATTTACATCAATGACATAGATGAAGGAATAATCAATAAATTACTTAAATTTGCAGATGATATTAAGGTCTTGGGTGTTGCTAACTGTGAAGAGAATGCTGCTGATTTACAAAAGGATTTAGATCATGTAGCGAGTTGGGCAAATAAATGACAGATGAGTTTAATTATAATAAATGCAAGATAATGCATTTGGGTTATCATAATTTAAATTATAAGTATAATTTGGATGGAAATAACCTTTACAGTGTTATGAAGGAAAGGGATCTTTGTGTAATAGTCGATCAGTCTCTAAAGCCATTCAAGCAGTATGCTGTTGCTAGTGGTAGGGCAAGCAGATTTTAGGTTGTATCTACAGAAACATTGAATACAAGTCTAAAGAGGTTATAATTTCATTGTACAGGTCACTGGTTAGGCCACATTTGGAATATTGTGTTCAGTCTTAAGCTCCTTTCCATAGGAAAGACATTGAATTGTTGGAAAGGGTTACTAGAATGGTGTCTGGGATGGAGGGGTTATCATACCAGGAGAGGCCGAAATCTCTCAAATTGTTTTCTCTTAAAAAAAAGAATTGGGGGGGGGGTCGTGATTGAGGTGTTTAAAATTGTAAAAGGAATTGATAGTGTTGATGAATCATCTTTTTTCATATTTAATAGTGAGAATAGTAGAACTAGAGAACACAAATATATATTTTGGCAACATTGGAGTCATCTTTGGCTGAGACAGTTTCATTTTTCAAACAGGGTGGTTGGCCTTTGGAATGTGTAGAGGCAGTAACTTTAAGAGAGTTTAAGAAAAAGCTTGATAAGTATATGAATGACACGGGCTGGCTTTAAGATTTTTTTTTTATTCTTTTAGTTTAGTTTAGAGGATGGAACAGCTGAGATGGACCAATAGGTCCTATGTTGTCCCAAAACATTGTTATGTTAAATGGTTCACATCTGTTTTTGTTAATGTAATGGCTACTATCTATTATCATTTTATATTTATAGCAGTATTAAGATGGTTGTAATGAATAATGAATCAAAATAGAAACACAGAACCCAGCTTTATACATCTAGTAATTTTTTTTCTGTAGGCATATTCTGATTTTGACCCATAGTAATAATAATAATATCAGGTCATCATCAGATAAGATATACATATTAATTATATATTAATATAAATGTGTGTGTGTGTGTGTGTGCTTATTAATAACATTAATTTTTAATACTAATCTATACACTCAACAAGTAATGGATAATATGCTGGACATATTTCAATGAAATTGCTGATGAAATAGGGAATCAAATCTTAACCTCAACTATAGTGTAGTAATTTCCTGTTATATGTATGTCAGAAATACTGAATTCCATGAACTCAACAGGGTGCGACATGTTTATCAGACACACCCTCTTAAATAGGATTGGAGGAATGGAAAAAAAACTGGTGACCCAACATAATTTGTAATAGTGACAAAAAGCAATATGATTTGGCAAGGTTTCAGTGTAACTGGTAATTTTTTCTCCTTATTAATGGTATAATATTCGGGGAAGATTTAATAAATGATTAACTCTGGAATTACCAAAATGAACCTTCATCTCTTTTAAAGACGCATGTAAGCTATGTATTTACCAAATAGCTTATGGACCCATGAATTTGTTAGTTCTTAATTACACAAGTCACACACACACACACACACATACATATATATATATATATATATATATATATATATATACGTACGCACACAAAACAGCAACAAAAAACTATTAATAGTGTAATTAATCGTACTAATTAGTGCTTGGGTATTTTGTGTATTTTACATGAAGTGAGTGATTTTGAAGTGTTTTTAATTTGTACTGTAAAAAGTGAACGGGAAACATAACTGTTTCAAAATTACAGTTATTTCTGTACTCCATTAGTCAGTTGATATCTGTTAAAGAAAGTGCAATGAAAAAAAAATCACTTTTATATTAATTTTGAGTAATCTCTTTTATTATTTATCCTCAATCTTATATTGTTTTTGGTTTGGCTGCTTGGATAGCCCTATTCTAATCATTTATATCTCCAGCATTACACTCATTTCTGTAAACTATCATTAGACTTAATTTGTCTTTGTAGTTTTATTTAGAAAGCCATTTTGTTCTTTGCTTCTCCAAACACCAAATGATATATGTGTGTGTGTGTGTTATTTTGTTATATATTAAAATACTTTTTTGTGTTACTTTCTCCAGATTAAGGACAAAAATAAAGCATGCAATTGGACAGAAGTTGTGCATATATGATAGTAGTTTCACATGCTTAGTATGTATGTTTTCCTAACTGCTTTAAGGGAACATTGATAAAGCTTCCTGAGAATGGAAATTCTAAAGATTAAGTTTCAACAGAATTAATCTCAACAACTGATATTTTTGTCCAAAACCCAGTCATGTCTTGTTGGTTATTATTTCATCCTAACTGGATTATACTTGCTGAGTACAGTACATAAACTATAGTATTTGGTTGCATTTTGTAAATTTTTCCTGAATTGTGCAGCGAAATATTTAGTGGCCAGGTAGCACCTCAAATAAGATCACAACTGAATTTTGTTTTATTATTATATATGAGTTAAATATTTTGCTCTTATTAGTGAGATAGATTACCCAAAATTTTGTTTTTGTTAGTGTGTGCAAGATACAATTAAAAAGGTAAGGTTTTTTTATTTT